GTCGGAAACCAGCAGAAACATCTGTCACTGAGTTTTGCTACAAAAGCGTGAATTTATCCCTCGAGGAAATCTAAAACATTAAAATAATACTTTTTCGGAGCGAAAATTTGTATGAATGTTAGTTTTCAGCTGCTCTTATACATCATCATTAAGTAAAATCCCAGGAAGATCAATAGTTTTGTAGTTCGAATTTTAGTGACGTCATGTGAAAACCAACAATAGCGATTAAAGAGTAAATACCAGTCTCTATCGGAGTATTTGCCTGGGCTTAGTTGTTCAAAGGATAGATATTGTGGATAACGTCATCCTCGCTAGCCAATATCCGTAAGTGTTAAGAATAGAAACCACGCTATCTACTGGATAGTGATTTATCCGGTAGATAGCGTTATCGATCCCCGGAGCCAGATGCTTTAGGAGTGGTTTAGGACAAGCCGTTCTGGTAATTCGGAAGTCCCGGGTTAATCCCCCACCCTTTCACCAGATGGCTTGTTCTCATTAGTCCGTAGTTCAGTTCTCTACCCTGCGTAACAGGTGTAAAAGGTGACCGGGTGTACCGTAGGAGTGTATCGAAGGGGAAGCACACGCAAAAGGAACGGGAAAGGGAGGCTTTCTTTCCCCTAATATCCAGTCACAATCTGCCCCTTCCCTCTCCGTCGCGCTTTGCAAGTACCTAGTTGCTAGCCTTTTCTACATCGCTCCTGCCAGTTGGCATTTTTAGTCATTTTACCTGATTATGTTCATTTCTAATGTTTGTTTCATCCTCTGGAAACTCGAAGTGCATGAACGCATGCATTTAATTTTATACTTTACTTGGAAATTATTTCCCGGTTAGAGTCTAGGTTAAATCAACTTTTAACTGTTGTACGAATAGATACGAAACTGTAAACAAGAGACAACGAAATGAATCGAGATATCAATTGTCAAGACCGAGCCGCGATGTCCCATGATGAACGGGACAAAAGATATCAGTTCCATTATTAGCGACTAAAGAACACTTAGAAGAAGGTCGTTATGATGGGTAGATAACTTCCGTGCCCACTGAAGTCTTGAGTTGGTCGAGCCTGCAAAAGTCCGGCGTTCAACATATACGACATATACCTATCTGTGGTGAATGAATATGCTACTCAATAAGAAAACAGAGCACCTTTATTTGTCTCTATGACCGATGAGTTTCCAAGAATCAGACAATGGCATTCAAATTCATAACGTCATCCCACCATCTGCTTGTCAATAGCAACCTTGATCAAGCAAATAGACTGATTCGGCGAAAGGTTTCTAGGTGGCCGCTTCGAGGTTTCGTTGTTTGGGAAAACAGACTGTCTAAGCACGATGGAGCAAAGCAAGCTTTCAAAACAAGCCGAGCAGCTTAAGGCTATGATCCAAGACTGGATTCCAAAACGGAAAGCAAGCGTACATACTCTGCGAGTCTTAGCAGATAAACTAATGGAGCATCACAATAATGTGTGTATCGCAAAGGTGGCAGGAAGTTCTGCCGCGGTTGCCGGATTTGCTCTTGCAGCAGTTGGCTTTGGCCTTTCTTTTGCAACGTTTGGGGCCTCTCTTATACTCAGTGCGGTTGGTTTGGGTGTGGGGGCTGCTGGAGGAGTAACAAATGCTGGATCTATGATCGCAGAAGCTTCCATTCAGAAAGATACTTTCACCACCGCTCAGAAAATCATCAACGACGACCGAGAAGCTACGAAAGCGATTGAAAAGCTCTTAGCAGAATTCGGAACAGAAGCGCAGAAAAGCAGAGTAGGAAATGGATTAAAGGCGGGTATTTCCAGTACTTTTATTCTGAAGAACTTCGTGGAAACTGGCTTGAGATTTGGAAGCAGGATCGCCGGCACGGCTGCCGGCGAAGGGGGTGAAGCTCTATTTCGAGGTCTCAGTGTAGCAGGCAGAGTCGCTCACATTGGCGGCTTCGCATTCAGCGCTATTCTCCTACCAGTCGACTTGTACACTTTGGTAACTAACTCGATCGAAGTCGATGCAGCTCGGAAAGGCAAGAAGGATAAAGAACCAAAAGCAGTGAAGAAGCTGAGAGAGCTGGCGGATGAATTGGAAAAGAACATGCCCAATGAGAAGGATTTTGCTCGAGAACTAGATTCCTTCATTTCAAAGGCATTTTCCACTCAGTAAATCGAAATACATAGATGTAATGCCGTTAAAATCATAAACTTAGAGGAAATCATTATTCCATTCTCGAGACAAATATTGCTTCACGAACATAACAATCAGAATTTGCGTTCTTTAGATCTTGTAATCGAGCGATATAATGTAGGAACAGACTTCTGGGTTTTAACGACGGGATCATCTCGAGGCTTAGAGCTGTATGATTAATTACAGAACAGTATGGATGAATAAATCCATATAGTCTTCATACACTGAAAGAATATTGTATAGTATACAATATTCTTGTCGTATTACAGAAGCACTGTAGACCAGACTAATCTCATAAACCGTGATCGCATAACATCATGTCGGTAGTGTTTTGTGAACTAAATCGCCATGGTTTCTAGTGCTTTTCGGGAAACTCGGTCATCTAAACGTATTACAGAGGGTGGTGACTTCAATCGTGGTTAATCAGAAGTCTTTCTGAGACTCACACAAAATACAACCAAGTCAAAAACTCTCAGCGACAAACTATGTATTATTAGGCGTAAATACCTAGCTGTTATTGAAATACAATGGCAGCACAAAATACAATTTTTTTTTTCGATTTTTAACCCATTGAAGCACGTTTATCGAGGCAGGGTATACTTTCATACATTGCTTTCAAGGTTAAGACCCTATCTAGTTCCTCAAAATGCACACCTATATTCGGAAGCAGTGTGTTTTTTTTTTTTTCCTGAAAAAGTAATATTGAGGGTGACTATAGATTTACTAGAAACCTTGACTTGAGTCGGACACTTTATAGCATAGGCTACCAGGCTTTCTTAAACCGTACAGGATCAGTTTCGTCTCGATGAGGCAACGAAGACGTTGAGAAAACACTTTGCATGCTACGGAAAACAGTTGGAATTTCCCAAGATTTTGCTTACGCTGGAAGACAAAATATCTTGCTATTACGCTCGATAGACATAACTATCACAGTGCCGCATAATCATTATGCGAAGTATGGGAAAGTATGGGAAGGCGTCTCACCTCTAGCTTGACAACGCAAAAATACAGACGGCTATAGAGGACTCTAAAATAAAAGTGATTTATACCCTGTGTCATGATTTCCGAGAAATAGAGGCGGCTCCAGACAAGTTGTAACCTGATCGAGTAAATCTACTTAGCTAGAAATCAAGAAAGCATGAAAGTTCATCATCCCTTCTTGCTAAGGATTGTATTTCTTCCCTAAATTGTATAATAAACGTCATTACTCTACTCGAACTACACAATTCGTTCTAGTCGTCATGAAGGGTAGATGAATTCCATACCCAAGTCTTGAGATCAGTAGTGGTAGAGCCGGCTCAAGTCCGGCGCTCAACGTATACCTTTCTGTCGGCAAGTGGTAAGTGAAAATGCCACTCAATAGGAGTCCAATAGGAACACGGAGCACCCTTAATTTGCTCTCATAACAAATGCGTGTCCGAGAATCAGACAATAGCATTTATATCCATTACGTCATCCCACTATCTGTGTGTCAATAGAAAATTGATCAAGCAAACAGACTGATTTGGTGAAAGGTTTCTAAGGTGGTTCCTGAAGTCCTGGTTGTTTTGGCAAAACAGATTGTCTCAGCATGGTGGAACAAATCAAGCTTTTAGAACAAGCCGAGCAACTTAAGGTTATGATCCGTGACTTGATTCCAAAGTGAAAAGCAAGCGTACATACTTTGCGAACCTTAGCAGATAGACTAATGGAGCATCACAATAATGTACACATCGCAAAAGGTGGCAGGAAGTTCTGCCTCGGTTACCGGATTTGTTCTTACAGCAGTTGGTTTTGGCCTTTCTTTCGTTACGTTTGGGGCCTCTCTTATACTCAGTGCGGTTGGTTTGGGAGTGGGGGCTGCCGGAGGAGTAACAAATGCTGGATCTTTGATCGCACAGGCTTGCATTCAGAAAGATACTGGATACTGGAGCCAGGATCGCTGGCATTGCTGCCACCGAAGGCAGCGAAGCTTTGTTTCGAGGTCTCAGTGTAGCAGGCAGGGTCGTTCATACTGGCGGTTTCGCATTAAACGCCGTTCTCCTACCATAGGACCTGTACACTTTGGTAACCACCTCGATAGAAATCGATGCAGCTCGGAAAGGAAAGAAGGATAAAGAACCGGACGCAGTGAAAAAGCTGAGAGAGATGGCGGATGACTTGGAAAAGAACATGTCCGATGAGGATGATTTTGCTCGAGAACTAGACGCCTTTATCTCAGATGCATTTTCCACTTAAATCGAAATGCAAACAATGTAATGCCGTTGAAATCATAAAATCAGAGGAAAACATTATTCCATTCTCGTGAGAAATACTACATGTACTTCACAAACATAAGTATCAATAAGAACAATCTGCGTTCTTTAGATTTTGTAGCCAGATACTAAGAGGTAGGAATTGACTTTGGGTGTGCTCATCTCAGGGTTTAGAGATGTATGATTAATTAGTGTAGATCAAATAATCCGTAGTCTTGCTACATTGAAAGATACGTGTTATATAATGCATTATATACAATATATAGAAGCATTGTAGCCCAGACTGATCTCATAACACCGCATAACATAGGACATAGTGTTATGTAAGCGTCGTGGTTTCGAGTTCTTTTCCGGGAAACTCGGTCATCTAAATAAATAACGGAGTATTTACGCAATAAACTAGCAGTAATCAAAGATTATGTGAGTGCTATCATAGTTAATAGAACTATGGTGCGATTGATGCCTTTACTCTTTTAACACCTTGAATGATTTCATTAGCTGACTTTCATCTCCTGTCTATTGCTAAAATCAACATTTTTAAATCAAAAACCGAAGTTTTAGACAGATATAACATAATGAGAAAGTCCAGTATTTTCCTGTACTTATTGTTAGCAAGTAAAGATCCTCTCTATAAATTACGACTTGTTAGTACGCTGCGTGATAGAACAAAAATATTTACATTTGCCTTCAAACTTCATGCTTAGCATTTTCTGCTATGGCCCACACGTATCCAGATATTTTTGAATCCGTAACTTTTATTTTCCAGATACGGCTTCCGTCCACACGCGTCCGGCGAATTCGGCAGCGAATCCGGATACTTTTGAATCCGCTCTCCAGTGGAAAAAACTGAATCCGCAACGAATCCGATAACGTGTATTTCGGCTTCGTCCACAAGAGATCTGGGAACGAGATTAGATAACGTGTGGATGGTAAATCCGGATATTTTCGAATCCGGTGACGTAGCAAAATCGTGTCCAGTCTCTTACCGAACAATAAACCAATATGGCGGCACAACGTGTGGGCCTAGTTTCTCTACTTAGAGTGAATCCGGACACCATCGGATGCGTGTGGACAGGCGAATTCGATTTGAATATATATACGCTACGTGTGGACAGGGAAAATTTTGAATCCGGGAAGAAAAAGTTGCGGATTCAAAAATATCCGAATACGTGTGGACAGGGCCTAAGGGTTTTACAAAACCGGGCCACTTATTAACATAATCGCTAAACGTTTCTAACGAAGCATATAGAAACAAAAGGAACCATTCAAATGCAATGATGATATGCAAATGAGGGGCTCGGAGGTCTACAATTTAGCCGACCTTGGCTTCGGAGTCCATCGATTCCGAACAATATTCGACCTTGGCTGGATACAAACTGAACTATTTGTCGCCACTGGAACCAATCAGCAAATGTAATCGAAATATAGCCAATGAAATATGTATATAACCTGCGATCTGGCGGGGATTTTTGTGGAGAATGGGGGAAGGGGAAAAAAGAACGTTCTTTTTGTCCCCGTGCCCCGCCTGTGAAAAAAAAACAACGCCTGATCGCAGATTAATATGTATAGCTGTTCCCACGGTTAACATCCCAAAGCCAAGGCGATTCAAAGTCGTGTCCGTGAACAGAATAAATATTTTTTCTTAGTTGTTTAACAAAAGCACGTCATCTCGCATCCCAACGAAACAGGCCACGTTTGTGTTGACCTGAACGGTCCATATTTGGCTAGAATCATAGAAAACGAACGAACGATCGAGAAACCAAACCATCTCGTTTGCACGTGCTCAGCGATGCGCCCCTGCTACAAGCAGAATCCTTTGCCAAAGGAAAGTGTGACGTCATTCAGCCAGCCACTTGTGGCTCAAAAGAGGCTGGCTTGCGTCAACAGGACACCCACGAGATCTCAGCTCACCACTTTGTCGAGCACATTAACATGTAAACCAATCTGTTTCAGAGAAATTAGAAAAATTAACTTGAATAGAGTTAACGCTGATTTTTTTTGGAAACAAATCTTCTTTTTAAATCTTGCAGGTAGCGGCTTCTATCATTGCTCTGTTTGCTAAAAGCTCACTCCAGTATGAAGGCAAGTGAGATTAGCTTACGTTTTACTACACTTTCACCGCCAGAAATAAGAGCCAGAACACAGATATATTTTTTTTAAAAAATTCTTCCATGAAATAATTTGGTTAACCCGTCTCCATATACAACGCACACCAATTCTCATGCACGTTACTGTTACATTGTTTTACTAAACCTGTCAGTTTAGGTAAGAAGTCAATTCATCAGTCCCTCACAGAACCACTGTCTCTAGAAATCACTTATTGGAAGCAGAAGATGTTCACAAAAAACCACTCTGTCCCATCGCGGTCATGTCAGGATGTAGTAGAAAGGGAGCGTGGTGAAGTGAAGTGAAAACTCTGCGGGTAAACTCTGTACAATCCTGTAAGTCCCTTAGTTTCATTTCTTAACGACTATGTCAAAAATGAATCGAGTTCAAACAAGGTTTATTCAGAGCTTACAAAGAGCAAATATTCGATTCAAACTCAAGTAAAACTGAAATAGTGTTTCAAACGGTCTTAGAAGCCTTTCCGGACCAATAAAGGATCAGATTCATCATATATCCACACCTGTTGGAAGGTCGATAGCGAGGTCAAGATCGATCCTCCGATCCAAACAGAGTATCTACCCTCCGGGACGAAGCAACGATCTCCATCTCTCATTGTGGAAGGAGCCAGAGAAGTGATTTCTTTCTGCGTTTTCTTCGCGATTCCTGGGAACATGGTGGAGCCACCAGACAACACACTGTGTTGGCGTATACGGATGTCCACGTCGCATTTCATGATGGAATTGTAGGTGGACTCGTGGATGCCTGCAGATTCCATTCCAAAGAAAGAGGGCTGAAACATGGCCTCCTGACATCTGAAGGGTTCGTTACCAATAGGCTTTTGTACATTATGCTTTTATTTCTACACTAAAATGCTCCACCTTAATGCTCCCTTTTTTTCCACTAAAATGATCGGTTTCCCCAAAAAAGGTCACTAAAATGCTCGGTTAATGTTCATACATAGGGTTTTTTAAATTTTAATAATTTTAACGTTTCAACACAATTAACAGTTCAGAGCGCTTAACAAAAACATATACTTAGTATAACAAGTTAACAACAACGTATGCAATAGTTTTAATACACCAAAAGATAATTCTTTAAATGATCTCTTGTTCTGTTAGTCCTTTGTCCCCTTTCAGTAACACTTAAGTGAAGAGACGAAGTTTAATAAGTCTTCATTTTCTCGTAAAAAATAATTTTTATGACTATTTTCTGTGGAAAAAATATTAACTTTCAGGGAAAATGACACTAAAACGCTCAAATATAATGCTTAACGCTTTTGCCTCACTAAAGTGCTCAAAAAAATGCTAGCATAATGTACAAAAGTCTAGTTACCAATGGTGATTCCCTAACCTTAACTTGTAACTCTTCTCCAAGCTGGAGCTGGAGGCAGCAGTACCCATTTCTTGTTCGAAGTCAAGGGCAACATAACACAGCTTCTCTTTGATGTCACGCACGATCTCACGCTCGACTGTGGTGGTGAATGAGGGCCGGTGCAACTCTTCATGAGGTAGTCTGTTAAGCTTCTGCCGCGATTGACCGAGGCAAATGTCAAGGCGCAGGAACTGAGCAAAGATGGTCCGAGGTAGATCGCTGTCACTAGATTGAGAGCGAGAGCGAGCGACCTCGTTGGGTCTGAGGATCGAGCCAGTTCAGTACTGCTATGCCAATTTACAGTGTGTCTTTTCTGGACCATTATGGCTATCTGTGTTATGATATTTGATTTCGATGATTCTTTTTCTGGAATTGCAAGAGATTCAATTTCGTTATAGATACACCCAGAAAGTATGTCCTTTTCCGAAAAATTGAAACAAAGCTTCAGCCAATAAATTTCTTGATCTTGCCAAGGATGCTGAGTCACGGTGAGCGAATTTTTGTGAGAGAATTGTTTCCAGTTGCAAAGATACAGTGGGCCAGTTGTTTTATCGAGCAAATTGTCTTAGCATGACCGAAGAGCAAAGTCTGACTTAGAGCGGCGGTTGTCTGTTTGGATTACGAAACGAAAAGCGACCGTTCGCATCTTGCGAGTCTTTGCAGATGAACTGATGGAGCATCATAAAAATGTGTGCGTGGTAAATGTAGCAGGAAGCTCTGTCTCAATTGCTGGGTTTGCTGCTGTGGCAACTGGCTTTGCTCTTTCCTTTGTGACGTTTGGAGCTTCCGTAGTACTGTCTGGAGCTGGCGCTGTATTTGGGGCCGCAGGTGGACTGGTAAATTTGGGATCTTCGGTGACAGAAGTGTACCTTCAGAAAACGACTCTCCACACTGTTCAGAAAATCATCGAAGAAGACCGAGAAGCCGCAAAAGCCTTTAAGAAGCTCTTGGAGGAAGCAAAACAGCAAAACAAGCCAATATTGGACGGAATACGGATGGGATATAAAGGTACAAGAATTTTAAAAACCTGCTTACAAACAGGATGTAAAATCGGAGTCAGAGTTGGCGCCCAAGCAGTCGGCGAAGGTGGCGAAGCTCTGTTCCGAAGTCTCAAGATGGCGGGCAGAGTCGCTCATGTTGGTGGCTTCGTTATCAATGCTGCTCTCCTGCCACTCGACATCTACACTCTGGTGAAAAATGCGATGGCAATTGATGCAATTAAGAAAGGCAAGAAAGATGAAGAACCTGAAGTGGTGAAGAAGCTGAGAGAGATTGCTGACGAATTGGAGAGGGAATTGCCTTCTAACGAGGACAGTTTTGCTTGAGCAGACTTGATTTTCTGATCAAAACTGCGAACAACCCCAGGCATCCCTGTACTTTATATTCGTCACTTGAACAATGTGCATATAACGAAAGCCAAAACCGTAAACGCGTAACAGCATAGACATTACTTTCCAAAACGAACTATCAAGTTCTTCTTATTTCTAGGAAAATGCACGTAGGTTTAAAGTAATCTTTTATAGTTGGCTTTAACAACGACGGAATAGCCTTTCCGGTCGCCTGATGTGGTTCCTTTCTTGTTGAACCATTCTTGCGCGTGTTTCCGTAATGTACATTGTATCATTCTAGCATGTAACTTAAATTCCTATTATATGCATTGAATAAATAGACTGATTAATTTAATACAGAGGCCAGTTTTGATAATTTGACAGTATTAGCGTTTTCCGGGAAAACCTGCGTCAGTAGAGGTGATATTCAAGACTGAAGAGATCACGTAACCGATTGAAGGATAAACGGCCCCAGGCTAGACCTTTTCTTGGTTTTATTTTCCACAGGGGAAACCACCGGGGCGTGTATTGGATTTTTCGCCATTTTAATGCAGGCATTTTTGATGGCTTCATTTATTCATTAAGACAAAACAAATTGGGTAGAACACAGCTACTCTTTTTATCTAAAAACGACAACAACAACAATGGTGAAACTGACTTTTTTCCGATCGATCCAAGACAGAACAACACCGAGTCCGCTGAAAAGCTGCCGCTGCAGTGGAAGCCTTTTGCTCAGGTCAGAGCTGATAGGCGGCATTAATCTAGTAACTCGACTCTACAACTTCAGGTGCCTAGGAAAGACGTATTCATCAAATCTGTCGAATGTAAATCGTGTGGCAATGTTAGAAAGGGGGTGATGAAATGGGGGGGGGGGGGGGG